GACATTCTAGATTTGCTTGGTGTGCAAGCCAAGCAATAGTTATTTGGTAGCTTTAGGATTTTATTGCTTTCTAGAGTTAGAATTTATATTATTGCATAGAATAGGAGATCTAGTTTGATTAGGCTTAGATTTATTTTGCAACCATAAATATCCCATGTACCTCATCATTATTTACATGTCTTGAATGAAGTATTGAATTGGTGAGCCAATTTTGAGGGGGAACTTGTAGTTCTTAACGTGTGTTAAACAAGGCCGTCAGTGCGTGTTTACATACAGTGTCGGAGAGAAGGCCCCGAGTGCGTCTCGAAGTCACAGTGTCTAGGAGAAGGCCCTGAGTGCTTCTGCTAGATACACCTATCGTGGATAAACGAAGGCCCTGAGTGCGCCGTTTATTCACAACCAACGTATAGATAAACACATCGATCGGCGACCTTTCATCATTGGTGCTTTCATTGAGAGTGTTTCATTGAGAGGTGCTGATCGTGTGATTATCTATCTATCCTTTTTCTTTTTTTCGGTTTGCCTTTTGCTGAGGGACCGAATTTCTCTTTATTTTTTGTTGGGGTTCGAATCTTATTGTTCGAATTTTCCCTTTTATTTTCGAATTTGAGTCTTAAAAAAAAAAAGTGTCATCTTGTTAGTCCTTTGTTTTTTGTTCATTATTACCTTTTGTTGAGGGGCCGAATTTTCTTTTTTGTTCGATTTTTTGGGTCTTTGTTGGGAGATCAAATTTTTGAATTCTTCCCTATTTATTTTTCGATTTTTTTCTAGAGTAAAAAAAAAAAAAAAAAAAAATATGATGTCAAACTGTGAGAGGATTCAAGCCTTGGAAGACAACATGAAGATCATCGGTGATGGTCAACATGCTACCAACGAGAACTTGGGAAGGATCGAACTAATGGTCCAGGACTTGGCCGGGCAACTAGCGCGTATGAACATGCCGCCAAGGAGACGATACGGGTCGCGGTCTACGGCAGTAAGCACCGGGACCGAGTGCGAGGACGATCGCCGATCGCGGGGCACACACGCATCCCACGCAGATCACCATCGCGACGGCCGACGACGACACGAAGGACGCGCACATCACGACTGCAGGCGCGAGGAAGACGACGACCGACAGTCGTACGCATCATACGCATCGCGGGCCTCACACGATGAGCGCCGGGCGCGACGCGATGACCGAGAGCGCTACAACGAGGAACGACGATACGACGAACGACGGGCGAGAGACGTGCCCGGCACCACGATCGCGACGGTCCGTGGGACGAGCAGGCAAGTACACCGCCAAAAATAGTCATGCCTACGTTCATGGGGACAGATCCAGATGCATGGTTGAGCCGAGCTGTGCAATTTTTTGAGATTAATGATGTGCCGAGGTACGAAAGAGTTCAAATTGCTGCTTATCACCTTGACGGTGAAGCCAATGTTTGGTGGCAATGGGTGGTGCACAAAAACCATGGCGAGCGCATGCGATGGAGAGATTTTGAAAAAGAGCTCATCACGAGATTTGGCTCGAGTGACTACCACGATTACAACGAGGCTTTGTCAAGAATCAAACAAGTGGGTAGTCTAAGGGATTATCAAAAGGAGTTCGAACGCATTACTAGTAGAGTACGGGACTGGCCCGAGGCGGCGCTAGTGGGAACGTTTGTTGGGGGACTAAAGGCTGAGTTGGCAGCCGAAGTGAGATTGGATAGGCCAGGATCGATGCGAGCAGCCATAGAGTCGGCTAGGTTGCACGAAGATCATCTCGTGGCAGTACGCAAGGCAAGGCCGAGCGAGGTGCGCGCGGAGACCAAACACACGACTGATGAGCAAGCGGCGCGAGTCGAAAACAAGCCATTAGGAGATACCGTTCGAACGACGAGCAACATACGGCGGCTTACCGACGAAGAGATGCAACGACGGTGAGAAAAAGGCCTTTGCTATTCATGCAACGAAAAGTTTACGCCAAACCACAGATGCAAAGGCAAGGAGGTATTTTTGTTGGAATTTGAGGAAGAACCACATGAGGAGACGCTATTACATATGGTTAAGTGCAAGAGACGAGGTACAAAGATGATCAGGTTCATTGCAGAAATTAAAGACATGCTGTTGGAAGTATTGGTGGATAGTGGGTCGAGCTTGAATTTTATAGACGAGAGGATAGCCGAAAAGTTGAAGTTAAAACCCACTAAGGTCAAGAAGTTTGGGGTCAAGGTAGCCAATGGGCATGAACTTCAAGGGAATCAGTTATTCAAGAAGGTTCCAATAATGGCTCAAGACCAAGAGTTGGAAATAGATCTCTATGCTTTACCGTTGAAGGCAACGGATGTAGTATTGAGCGTACAATGGTTGGAAACATGAAAGGTGGTGTATTAATATGCAATTTTGCCAAATGCAAAAATGTTTTCGGCCCCTTCTAAAAAATCCTCCTTCAGTGCCCGCAATAATGTCGCTAACCAGAGAGACGACGATTCCACTCCGGTGGCCGGCAACCGGAGACCACTGCTCGACAGCCCAGCCGTCCCAAACAGGCCCGCCAGTGGGTCCCCCGCCCCTTGGGCCTCTCGCTTTTCCGTCCTCGCTAGGTCGTACCTCTATTACGTGCTTATGCTGTCATTCTCTGTCATTTTTCTTCGACATATATTTTTTTGGAGTAGAACAAAAGGAAATGAGAAGAAATTTTGTAGCGCTGTAGGTGACTGAGCTGAGTCGAGTAGTTTATTTGTGTGTCTTGTTTGTTTGTTTGGGTTCGATTTATCTGCTAATCTCTTTATGTGCAATGGTAAACTACCCTAGGACATAGAGTTTAGCTTTTGGTCTTTCAATCACATCTTGCAAGTTTTGTGATTTTGTTCCAGTAGATAACTTTGAACCCAAGAATATCTACATTAGCTTCTATTAGTTTACAGTTGAGGGACACTACAAAAGCTTAAGCACCAGTTCTATAAAGATTATCATGGAAAATCCATATCCTGTCCAAGTTTTCTTGTAGGCAGAGTCACCTTTCACACTTCAGAGCCACTTTCCTAAAGTTTTTCTACTCTATTCTACTGCAATTTTTGGTTCAGTAGTAACCTTACAAACCCTTGCTAGATAGTTTTGTTGTATTTAGCTTCAGAATTCTTAATTTGAACCTTTCCGGTTCTAAACTTTAATATACATAATAAAGGGGACATTGTGATCCATTAGGACCTGTTCCCTTTATGATGAATATTTGTATAAAAGATTGACATTGAATCTTCTCCTTTTATACCGGGAAGAAACAAGGACCTTGATGTTTAGTAGTTAACCTTTGGACCCTGTTTCATATCTGATGATAGAAAAAAAAAAGAAAAAAAAAGAAAAAAAAAAAA